AACAAGACATTGACGGATATGCTTGGACGCTGTGGTATTGGCGCAGGTGGAACGTTATTAGAATGGGATGGATAGACGAGGTATTGGACAGAAGGGCTTTTTCCCATTTCTGCGCCAGCACGCCTTCAGAATGCTAACACATTCCCATCGGGCTTGGCTGAGCTTGCCGCAAAAATACGAAGATAAAAACAAATCGTGTTCAGGGAGCTGATCATTTTTCTATCCAAAATATCTAAGCCAGAAATTTGTCCACCATTTGGCGAATTTCCGCCCTACGAGATTCATATGCTCAAAAAGCTTGCAAGACACAAGGCTATTGTCATACAGCTGACCTGGGCTGGAACAATAACACATGGAATCATGATTCTGAATTGTTTCCTTCATGCAGCAAACTACTTGAACGGTTGGAGACCAAGGAAAAGGCGAGTGGCACAAAACAGCAAGGGCTCGTGACTTTCACGGAGAGTTGCACCTCTCCCAAACATAGAACACCCGTCTCGCGCCTTCTGATGGGAAGTTTCATCGTTGTTGTGTCCAGTAACGAGACCAACAAAGCCCAGTCAATAGCAACTGCTTTAATGCCTTCAACAACAAAGGACGAAAGGCAGCCAGACATCAAAGACGTCATATTCGGTTGAGACCGTAGACTAGACAGAGCAGCAAGGTTTGATTCAAGGCCAGTAAATGAGAAGCACGCAGTCGGTAGATTTGACCACTTTGTCACGTGGTCGTTTCCTGCGCCACAATTGATCCCAGAGTGAATTCCGATTCCAGCCTAACATTGTTCCTATAATTTTCAGAACACAAAACGTCGCCAACCACTGAACTGAATACGCACCTGTTATCCTCCCTGCTGGCCGGTACCACACTTCCCCGGTTGCCAAGCACCCACGCAAGGCGCCATCGCCGCGTCAGGCTCGCTGTGGGCAGCGGATCAACCAGCTCCACAGTTCCTGAAGCGGAGCCATCCAACGCGGGCACTTACGTCTGGATCGACATCACGCGACAGCATGTCGATCTCCTCCGCCGTCAGCTGGTCCAGCATGTCGTCCATGTCCATGTTGTCATATTCGCTCAGGTCTTTTCCGAACAGTTTCTTGTTGACACCCGCCTCCTGCGGCAACATGCGACACAGCGTTAATAGCGGACTGGGGTGCTGGCGCGACCCCAGAACGGCTCCGGGCGGGACCAGGCGGGCTCCGGCTGGGACCAGACGGGCTCCGGCCGGGACCAGACGGGCTTCGGCTGGGACCAGACGGGTTCCGGCCGGGACCAGGCGGGCTCCGGCCAGGACCAGACAGGTTCCGGTCGAGACCAGAAGGGCTCCGGCCGGAACCAGACGGGCTCCGGCCGGGACCAGACGGGCTCCGGCCGGAACCAGACGGGCTCCGGCCGGAACCAGACGGGCTCCGGCCGGGACCGGACGGGCGGGCGGTAAAGCGCGGGCGCAGGCGGGCTTGCTAACCGGGGAGCTGAAGAAGCTCTCGATGTCGGTCGACGCGGGGATGGAGCTGCGAGACCGCGAGGACACCCTGGCCGTGTACATGGCTGACGTCCCGCCGCCCGCGGGCGAGCGCTCGCGGCAGAAGGCGGCGCGCGCCGCGTTAGCTCGGCCGCATGGCGGCCCGGCCGGTGCTCCCGCAACACTCGCGAATCGGCGCCGGCGCCGGCACTGCCGCCGCCGCCGGGCCGTTTCCAGAAGCGGCCGCGGCCGGGGCTGCCAGCGGCGTCCGCGGCGGCCGGTCCGTGGCTGTCAGAGGCTGGACCACCCTCGCCAGACAGCACTGGAAACAATGTCGCTTGGCGCGATCCCGCGTAAACACACCGAAGGCGTCGGCTATATTGAGCGTGCTAGCACCAAAATAGCTACCCAATTCGGGTTTTATTGGACATAGATCGGGGCAACTGGTGGCGCGCTGCGTGGAGCGCGCCGCGGGAGGGAGCGGTGATTCACGCTGCGAAGTCGGCGCGCTCGCGCTGTTGCGGGGTTAGTGAACAGGGCACGGCAAAGTTAAGTCCCAAAAACAACACAGATCCACGCCACAAAAATGTTCACAAAATGTCCGCAGCCGGAAGCATAAGGCGAGCAGCATCAGAGGCGTCAGAAAGGACAGAGAAGCCAGCGCGAAGAGACGGACCGCCACGTACAAGGTCGCCATTCCGTCGCAGCAGCAGCAGCAGCAGCCGGTTATTGCCAGCGGCGGGACGTCTTGGACGGCGCCGCCGCCGCCGGGTTAGCCACCGGAGCTTGCCACACGCAGACCGAGCGTCACCTTCGACGCGAGCGATGCTGTCACGCGCGGCTTGTACGTCGTCTTCTTGAGGGTGCGCGTGATGGTGGTGACCTCCTCATACTCGTCGCTGTCGTCGTCGCTGTCGCCGTCGGAGAGCCGGTTGCGGGCCGGCTCCTCCGCCGGCTCGTCGCGCGTCGGCGACGGCTGGTCATGTCCCCAGCGGTCGCGCTCCATCGTCGGCGGCGACGCGGCTGCTCAGGTCACAGGTCACTGTGCGGGGAGGGCGGGGAGGGGGTGGTGGTCAGCGGCGGTCAGCAACGACGGCGACGGCGTCGCGCGCGCCGCTCAAGACGTTGCTCCGTAATACCGCCGGAGACCTGTCCACTGGAAGTGCCGACTGCAGCTGCTGGTTTCAGTGCGATTCGGCAGATTTTGTGTTGGGCTCGTGTGAGGGTCTTTTCGGTCAGTGACTGTCATCTCAGGGTTCTCGGGTTAAAAGGTGATATAAGTAATGAGGCCATTTAGTGTGGCCATGTAGAATATCTCCGCTACTGAGCGCCGCCGCTCTCGCGGACCCCTCTGCGCGGGCGCTGGGGAGGGCTCTCACTACGGCAGCACTCAGACCTGCTTATGGCTGACGGCAACATCTGGCCCCGGTGAGTCAGACCGCTGTGATGATTCTGGATGAAACGGCGAGTGACGGAAACAGTACGGATATACACGGACGCAGGATCGAGCCGCCGTCTAACCCGGGACCGTATGGCGTCACCACTAGAACCGGGAAGAGGTTTGCGGGACTTCCAAGCCTTACAACCCGGTTCTCTACCAAAACAAGGCATGTGCGCACAACAGCCGACGTTTATAAACCTGCCGGATCCCAGTCAATGCTGCATTGCTTCGCCATTATGTCATTGCCGGCCGTCAGCACATCAAAGCGACAGCCAGCTGAGTCCTGACATCACTGTTCGTGATAGCCGAAACACATGCGGCGCTAAGATCTTCAGCGGCTTATAAGGCATTTCTTGCAGGCACCGTCTGCGCCTGTCCACTCTGGGGAGTTGGTGCGCTTCAGAACCATCTGGTCCGCCACAGAGAGCCCACCATCGTTTTAATGCGGCCATAATAATCAGTGCGTCCATTCGCGGCGGCTCCCAAGCGTCAGATAGTTTCCAGGCCGAGGGGCGCCAGAGCCATCGGTCTTCGTCATCATGCATGCCTGACTCGCGTCAAAGTTGATCAATGCCGGCGCCATCCGGACCGAACGCCTCCACTACCGCAACAGCCCGAGCCAGCGATATCGCTCCCGGCTCGGTCCACAGTCACGCCTGCAGCGACGGGCGAGGCCCGGCACGGCATGTCAGAGCCTCACGTGATCTTTGTATGTGTGAGTTGACTGGGGTGATGGTGCGTCCGCCACGCTAGCACCGGGGTAGCGTCACAGTCGTGACCCCGAGTCTGCCCGGAGGCGCCGCTGTCACCGATCGGCCCCATCTGCAGTCTGCCTGGCGGCGCCCCTGCGACCGATCCGGCACAGCCGCGTGACCTCCCCAAATCAGATTGAATCGGCTGCAATCTGCCAAGTCGGGGGCCCGGGCCTCGCACCAGTTCACCACTGAACGCGGCCGTGTCTGTCCGTCGGGTCTTCAGCTGTGCGCTCGTATCATGCGACGCCGGAAGAGCGGCGCTCCAGAGCGCGAGATCGACGACATCGGGCGTGAGCGACGGGCCGGGCAGCGGCGCGAGTCACGGCTGAGTCGAGGTCGAGTCATGTCACGAGTCGTTTCCGAGTCGCGACTCGTGTGGCGGCCCGGATAATGACACGAGTCACGGTACGGGTGACGACGAATCACAGACCGGGAACGGCATGTGTGACGACACGAGTCATGTCCGAGTCACGTCCGAGTCATGGTTTGAGTCACGTCACGAGCGTAGACATAGCGGACTAAGTGCCCAACCCTGAACACGGACATTGATCACTGCAGTATGCCTGTCGAGACTGACACTAGACAAACTGAGCCAATAGCAATGCACAGGCAAAGCCTAGGTCACTAGGCAGATTGCACCTGGGTCGCTGGGCACAGCACGTGGCCTGGCTGCCTGCCGAGAACCACTCAGGCTGCCGGCCAGCGGTGCGGCGCAGAAGAGGCAGCCAACAATCCCGAACTGCGTCAAACTCGCGGCCCGCCGGAAACTTTCGGAATGTATTCAGCCCATGCGGTGTAGCGTCCCAAGTTGGCTGTTCAGCACGAGACGCCTTTAAAAATTAGTTGCAGGGTCGGCAAATAAATGCGCATCTTTTCTGCCCTGAATCGTGCTTGGGCCGTCAGCTTTCATGCACGGCGACTGAGCAGGGTTGATACTTTGATCTTGCTATGCGGCTGAATGTGTGGTTTTCTTAAAATGATGATGGGTGTCCTAAAATGCCGATTAAGGTGACATTTCATGACCTCTCTCAACACCTAATCGCACCCACGTTCCCGCTGAATGTGATGCGCATTAGACACGAATCAGTTGGGTTCGGCCAAATTCAGCATGCACGTGCCAATGGCCAATCACCTCACTGAAAGCTGTCCCTGTTCGTTGAGTCTTGCTCTGACACGCCTTTGCCGCCCAGATGATATAGAAATTATTGTCGACACGCTTTTCAACATGGTCAATGTTCGTTGTCGCGCCTTTCGCCAAGGCAATGAGAAGCCCGACAAACGGCCAGTATCCAGGGATCTGATCGACCTTGTCTGAACTTTTCAGGCCGTTGAACCGTTGTCAAATATAGGTTAGTAGGGTAGTAGTACTAAACCGGCACGTGACACCAGGCCGTCAAGGAGCCCCAAACCGACGGCCGCTGTTGTAGTGCGGTGCCTGGAGACCAATTGCCAGCAACATCAGCCGAAAAACTGCGCAAGGCCTCTGAGACAGACGGCCTTAACAGATTATCAGGCGCGAGCCTCCGAAGCCGAGGACGTCGGGAACGGCCCGAAGTTCGGGCACAGGGGCGCGGAAGCCCTCGGAACCAAAGCCAGTCTCGGAAGCCCTCGGAACCAGAGTTAGCCTCGAAAGTCCTACACTCGAAAGTCCTCGGAGACAGAGCCAGCCTCGAAGGCCCTACACTCGGAAGCTATCGAAGCCAGAGCCGGCCTCGAAAGCCCTGCAGTCAGAAGCCCTCGGAGCCAGAGCCAGCCTCGGAAGTCCTGAACTCGGAAGCCCGAGCCATAACGGGGCCCTTGTAGTCAAGCGGCCCCATCTAGTATACGGATGGGAAGAGGTGTTGGAAGAACCCCCACAAACCAATGGTTTAAAAATCGATATCTGAAGTTTAGGAAGCTTAGTGTTATCGACACGGCTCAGGGACGGAAACCAGGTTAGGCGCGTCTGGATATTTGCCAAAGCTGCACGGCTGTAAAGCTTTGGGCTGCACCAAAGTAATTAAAAGCACCTTAGTGCTGTTTAGGGCCACCTACTTCGGCTCTGTAAGTGGCCTGGGATCTTCAACTTTTCCACAGCAGAGACAAATCCAAGGATGCTTCATCTTCCCCATCAGTTCGCTGTAGCATCGTCTCTGCAATTATAACCAAGCTCCAACGACAGCCATGATCTCATTGTCTGAATGCTGTAACCATGCCGCTTTCACTTAAAACAAAGGGCCACCTGAAACCGCCAGTAACCCGTTGTAGCGAGAGGATGTGTATTCCGTTGTATGATATATATATATATATATATATATATATATATATATATATATATATATATATATATATATTGTGTGTGTGTGGTGATGTGTGTGTGTGTGTGTGTGTGTGTGTATATATTATATATTCTAATTATGTAGAATATTGACAGGATGAGGCAGATACGTAACGTACAGAGTATAGTTTAAATTGAGCCAGCAAAGCTAGCGATGTGTCAACACTCTTCGTCACTGAGGTTTAAATGAAGATATGTATCGTGTGCTGAATGAACGGGTGAGCCGTGAATGACGCAAGTGACCACACTTTCGGCACTGAAGTAGCTGCGACCGCCGTAGGTGGTGGGTTGTCTGTTCAACCCATCCGGTAAGAGCGTGGCTTTCCGGCGTCACAGGGGGTGTCTCGAGCTGTGACGTCGCGTGCTGATCCCATCGGACGACCGCATCCGCCGAGTCATGCTCATGAGTCACGTTCGGGGGCCGACTGTGAGTCCCTTAGTCGGCTGGACGAGGCGACGGACAGGCCGCTGGCGGGGCTGAACGTCGGCTCAGTCGCCGCCACGTCACGGAGGCGACGACCAATGGCCGACCGGCTGGACGCGGGCCACCGCCGCTGACAGGTGTCCGCCGGCCAGGTCAGGCGCGGCATGGGAGCCGAGCGTTTACGCCGTGATGATCCATCGTCCAGTCATGACAAGAGCTCGAGGTTGCAATGGCAGGGCGGGTGGATCGCCGGAGCTGTGTGAGCTGTTCTAGGCTTACTTGATATGATCGCCAGCTCAATCAGACTCAATTAGAATCAGATATAAATAAATGATTTTTTAAAAAAATCAGACTTAGAGCGAACAGCCCACGGTGCATCGTGAAATTTAGAATATCGCTGGCGCGACGAAACTTAATTTGCCATTTTGCGATGATCTCCACTGATGATTCACAACATCGCAAACACTATAAGTCTTTTCCGGCTAAGCTTTATGTTTGTTTTGGTTTCTGCAAGCCTGACACAATTTCTGACGCTCTGCAATGCAACAGCTTCGCTGCAACTACTGTTGACGTGACGCCTGCTGTTTAACTGGCGTCTGGTTGGCACGGTTCACATGATGAGCGGCCTTCTGCTCCAAAAATAGGGTGCTCTGTGACAAGGCGCAGCTTATAATTATCCAAAAATGATCTGCAGGCTGCAATGTCGTTATCCTCTCGCAAAGGTGACATCATGGAAAAGTAGGACGATCTCTTCGTGTCTTCACGCTTCATGCACGTCTAGTTCCTTCCCAGGGCGATTGTTTCACACAGGGCGTCCATAGGTGTGAACCTTGCTATTAAAAAACGCAAGATGTGTGGAGTATATCGGGCTTCAATCTGTTTATTTCGCGAGCCGATGGACCTGGACACCACGCAGCTCCTTACAGCTCCTAGTCCTGGTTCCCCCCGACGTCGGAGCGGGAGAACCGTGCAGCTGCTGGGGACTGTCACATTCCGGAACAAAGTCCAGTTATGAGCTTGTTGCCATGCTGAGCAGACAGCGCGCTTCAGCTCGCAGGTTGAGCGAGCTATGTGGTGATGTGCTTTCCCCTCTCTTCCCGG